GCAAAGAGCCTCGTAGAACCTCTTGGCTCCGCTCTTTGCCATAGTCACTGGGTGCTGGGGCTGCAATAAGGGCAGAGAAGGATGGTTGGTTCTCCGTCCTTATTGCCACAAGGAAGGCTTTGACAGCGGCTTTAATGCATTCCCAGTCGAATCCCAAGCGACACTCTAGAGTCCAGACGTCTCCCATTCCATTTTCCCCAACTCCTCCATAAACCTTGGGAAATGATGGCATCCACGAGAGGGTCACGTGGGCATGATCCAACCCAGAGCCTCATCTGACCTTCCAAGTGCCACCAGGACCTCTGGCGGACAGTGCAGCAGCAGGACCAACCCGCAGCTCCCTCTCTCTGGTTTACTCTGGCTCCATCCGTGGCTGAGCTCCGTAGCAAAGTGAGGGCCTCTCGGAATAGAGGAAGGGTGCAGTCTGCCAGGGTCAGGCCCAACGACGAGACAGAGAGATCCGGTTGAGTCCAATCCTTTATTTCTTTACTCATTGGCCAACTGGAGCCAAACTTTCTAACCTACTAGACATATCCTGAGAGTTTCTAGGATGTGGCTATCCTGGGCCTCTTCCTCTGTCTCCCATGCGACTCAAGACTGTGGAAGCCCTTAACCCAGGGCTCTTTTCTGGGAAAGCTCTGCATTGCTAACACACACACACACACACACACACACACACACACACACACACACAGCTCCTGCAGGTGCAGATTCCATCACATAATTTAAACAAACATGCTTGAACGCCACCCATTCCTTTCAGATGAGTTTCTGCAGTTGTATATATTCTGCTTTGCTGGTTTATCAAGTAGCAACTACAGCTTGCAAGGATGTACTTATTGCCAGTTACTTCATTTAATCTCTGTGTTCCCTGACCCCTGGAGCCAGTTTCTTCTTGGCAGAAATCCAGGGCCTTAATAACTAGAAGAAAGGCTGAACTCGATGGCTAAACCCGGTTTCCTTTTTGTTCTACTGTTGCCTGGCTGTGCCAGGAAAATGGATGCGTGCTGAATTTTTGACTTGCAATAGTGTTGCAGCTGTTAAGGGAAGAGGCGTTCTGCGGTGCCAGAAATGGATGACAGTCAGGTATGTTGGCTGGGCATCTCCATAAAAGTGTCAGGCAGCCCAGTGGATTTTTCCGTCATTCTGGCCCTGGGAAAATGGATACGGCTGAGCTCCCTGGGCAATCGGAACCACCGCAGTTAAGCCAATGCTAACTCTGGCAGATACTGTAAAAACAGATCTGGCAAAGGTGGCAAGGAAACGCCCCTTCCAGGTTGGGCATCACCTCTTGGAAGTCCCATGGCAACAACCTGGAGGGACTCACCTGGCTGACGGCTGGAGACAAGCAAAGGCTTTGCAGTTGCATAAGGCAACTTTCACCACTGCCTAAAAGTTGGTGTCCAAGACCTTTACGGTCCTGAGCAACTGAAGTTCCAGAGAGTTCGGTTTCCCAATAGGCCCCCTCCGTGCCCGAATTTACTACTACTGCCGCTGCCGCCGCTGCCGCTGCCGCTGTGGGCACTAGGTAGACGTTTGAAGGATTTGTGAGAGGTCTGCAAGGTCTCCTGTCCCAGATTCTTTGGATCTTTTAAATGTCTAGTACCTCTGGCTGTTTTTTTTTCATGCATGCTCTTACATAAGTTTGGAGTATTCTGTTTTGCTGAATTTTACATTACATTTTACACATAAATCCTTTTAGCTGTTATTACTTAGGTACATTAAATTGCAGTGCCAGAATTTTTTCTGCCCGAAGCTCGCAAAGCAAGTTTTCTCTTTCTTTTAATTCCCTCTCAGCGTTTTTGCTTTTACAGTGTCACATTCACTTGGTGTCTGCTGTGGGCCCTGCCTTCAAGAGGCCATTTCGAGCAGGAAAATAATAGGCAGGGCAACATTCTCAGTTTTTACCCTGCAGAAAGAAAACAACCGTTTTCAAAGACTAAAAAATGTGAAGCATGAAAAGCATATGCTGGGAGTGCTTAGCATTATGAAACTCCAAAATCAAGAGTAACCCATCCTGGGCAGTGGTGAACTGAGTAGTGGAGCCAATTAGATTTCAATTTTTGCTGGAAACGTGAACTGATTTATTTCAATATTTTTGACCACTAATGAAATCAAAATCAAGTTTCCATTATCCTCACAAATGTCCATTTTGTCTTAAAAATGGTTTTATTGTACAGAACTGTTTTCTGTCTTTTTTTAACCTTATCCATACATCTTTCATTAAATGTAGTGATGACTGATACATATTTATCCGCAAGCATTCTTTTCGGCTCATATTTATTTTAATTTTAAAAAGTATTTTTTTATTTTATATTTCTTAACATGAGTTAAATATTAAACAAAAATGATTTTGGCCTAACGTTTGAATATTTTACTTGTATTTTGCCCTAAGCTTTTTTTTTTAACCTCCTGCTATTATCATGTTTTATTTGGATTGGTCAATGTGCCTGTGTGGCTTCAGAATTATTTTATGATCGTTGCTGTTTTAGGCTAATCCTGGTATTTGGTCATTTGTTTATTATTACGGTTGGTCTCACGGTCGGCCATACCTTTATAGGTGGGATTTTTGCCCAACTATCGATTGTTTCCCGAGGATTCGGATAGGCAGATGTGGATGTCTGGTGTGAAAGGCCTTGATGCAGGCTCTGTGCCCCTCCGAGTGAAGCCTCCTTGGGAGATTGACTGGCAGCGAGTTGGTCAGTGCTCCAATGGGGCTCCAGGTGTTTCAGGATGGCCCCCAAGGCGCCCGTGACTGACGGTGCTCCTGGGAGGCCAGGCCGAAGCCACTGCGCCTGGAGATGGCGAAGGCAGGTGAGCAGGGTGGAGGAAAGCCAGGAAAGGCTCCCTCAGGGAAAGGAAGCGAGTCAGTTAAGGGAACGACCGGACAGATGTTGGGCCGGAGCACGTGGGAGACCCCTCCCCCTGGGTTATCCCCCTGGGGGCCCTGGAGGCCGCCCAGCCCCTTAGAGGATGCTGGGTGAGTGTGGATTAGTGTATGTGTGTGTGTGAGAGAGAGACAG